CCCAGGGGCCTGGGCAGGGAAGGACGGAAGCAGGGTCAGAGTCTACGATTCTGGTATGCAGGGGTTCTGTTTCCCCTTCCGAGGAGAGTGAGGTCTCAGGAGGGCGGACTCAGAGTACAGCTGTTCAAAAGAAACAGGCACTGCAGGGGCCGAGGGGAGGGCGGGCGGACGGAGTCTTGAACGGTGCAGAAATTCATATTCTGGTTCTACAGAAATCTAAGAACAAGAACGGATTGGTATTCTTGGAGAAGCACATACTGAAGAGGAGGATCCAGTGAAACCAAACGCATATGTACAATATCACATAGCACGTGTCCACGGGAGCGGGGGGGCCGGGCTGGGCACGGCTTCAAGTGGGGAGTTTTGGTTCTATTCGGAGAGAAGACTCGTAGAGGCTTTCTTCATCCATTACGAAAGATTGGTCCAGGAGATACTGGGTTACCTGAGAAAAGAAAAGAAAAGGGAATTAGGAATGGCAGGGTCATGGGACTTCCCTTGTAATGACTGTGGACACCAGTGTCTCCTGGGACCCAGGCAACCTTGGGCGCATTTTGCCTCAAAACACACCAAAAGTATGTCTCGTCTTAATATCATTTGCCTCAGTATTATTATTTAAATTAATATTAAACCACATGGAGTCAAAATTCCCCTAACTGCTGTTTCTTTAGTTGAGCACTTGAAGAAGTGCTTGCATTAAAAAAAGAAATGTAGCCGGGCTCGGTGGCTCAGCCTGTAATCTCACGCTTTGGGAGGCTGAGGTGAGTGGATTGCCTGAGCCCGCGGGTTCGAAACCCGCCTGGGCAACTTGGCGAGACCTCATCTCTACAATGAATCAAAAAATTAGCCGGGTGCAGTAGCGCGTGCCTGTAGTTCCAGCTACGTGGAAGGCTGAGGTGGAAGGATCGCTGGAGCCCAGCAGGTCGAGGCTGCGGTGGTAGGGAGTGGCCACTGCACTCCAGTCTGGGTGACTGAGTGAGACTCCAACTCAAAACAAAAACAAAAAGAGAAATGTGCTGGGCACAGTAGTTCGTGCCTGTAATCCCAGCACTTTGGGAGTAGAGGCAAGAGGATTGCCTGAGACCGGGGACTCGAGACCAGCCTGGGCAACATGGTGAGACCTCGTCTCTACAATAAATAAAATAATTAGCCAGGCAGGGTGGTGCATGCCATAGTTCCAGCTACTTGAAAGGCTGAGGCGGAAGGATCACCTGAGTCCAGCAGGTCGATGCTGCGGTAGCTGTGAGCGTGCCACTGTACTCCAGCCTGGGCGACAGAGTGAGACTTTGCCTTGAAAAAAATAAAGGTCAGCTGGGCTCGGTGGCTCAGCCTGTAATCCCGCGCTTTGGGAGGCTGAGGTGAGTGGATTGCCTAAGCCCGTGCGTTCGAGACCCGCCTGGGCAACTTGGCAAGACCTCATCTCTACAATAAATCAAGAAATTAGCCGGGTGCAGTAGCGCGTGCCTGTAGTTCCAGCTACTTGGAAGACTGAGGGGGAAGGATCGCCGGAAACCAGCAGGTTGAGGCTGCAGTGGTCGGGAGTGGCCACTGCACTCCAGTCTGGGTGACAGAGTGAGACTCCAACTCAAAAAAATAAAAAATAAAGGTCAACTGTAGAAATGAGGTGGCAGGTATATGAGGGGGGGTGTCACAATTCTTTCAATGTTTCCGTATGTTTGAAAAGTTTCGCCGGACTCGGTGGCTCAGCCTATAATCCCGCACCTTGGGAGGCTGAGGTGAGTGGATTGCCTGAGCCCGTGGGTTTGAGACCCACCTGGGCAACTTGGCAAGACCTCATCTCTACAACAAATAAAAAAAAAAATCGGTCGTGGTAGCGCATGCCTGTAATTCCGGCTACTCGGAAGGCTGAGGTGAAAGGATCACAGAAGCCCAGCAGGTCGAGGCTGCAGTGGCCGGGAGCGGCCACCTGAGTGGCGACAGAGTGAGACTCCAACTCAAAAAAAAAAAAAAAAAAAGAAAAGTTTCATAATAAAATGTTGGCACAAAATATACTTAAACATTAGGAGTACAAGGTACTGCGAGACAGTCACCCCAAGAGAGGCAAGTAGAAACTGAGTCTGTGTGAGCAGAGTCCCCCTTTTCTCAGCTTCACTCCACGACAAAATCGAAAAGATTCACTCAATCAAATTAGGTTATTCACTTAAAAAAACATTTTTTTGCTTTTTGAGTTGGCGTCTCACTCTGTCACCCAGGCTGGGGTGCAGTAGCACACTCATGGCCAACCCAGTGTCAACCTGCTGGGCTCGGGTGATCCTTTCACCTCCGCCTTCCAAGTAGCCAGAACTACAGGCGTGCGCTACCACACCCGGCTCATTTTGATTTATTGCAGAGATGAGGTCTCGCCAAGTTGCCCAGGCTGGTCACGAACCCGTGGGCTCAGGCAATCCACTTGCCTCAGTCTCCCAAGGTGCTGGGATTATAGGCTGAGCCACCAAGCCTGGCCAAAAAACACTTTTTTTTTGAGATGGGGGTCTCACTGTCACCCAGGCTGGAGTGCAGTGGCATGATTACAGCTTACTGCGGCCTCCACCTCTTAGACTCAGGTGATCCTTCTGCCTTAGCCTCTCGAGTAGGTGGGATTGCAGGTACGCCAGGCTTGACTAATTTAAAAAATTTTTTTGTAGAGACGAGGTTTCACTATGTTGCCCAGGTTGGCCTCCAACTCCTGGGCTCAAGCAATTCTCTCACCTCAGCTTCCCCAAGTGCTGGGATTATAGGCGTAAACCACTGCCTGGCCAGGTATTCTCTTTTCTCATCCCTCCCCACCCTACTCCTGCTCCCAGGTGCTTTGCTGAATTTCTGCACATTAAACATGCAATGCAAACCTCGCAGGTAGCCTCTTGCTCCAAAAACTGTCTTTCCAAGGCTTGTTTATTTGTTCATTGTTTGGAATAGAAGGAGCATTTTTCCCCCACAGAAACCCAGAGCAGAAATAAAAAAAATTCTTATTCTATGGGCATCTTCTGCTTGATATAACAGCTTGAGAAAAATCAAGTCTTTTTTGCTTTTGTCTTGGTTAATTGACTCTGCTACTGTGAAGGATGGAACCAGCTGTGCTATACTGATGAATAGTCACAGATAAAATGATTCTTATATCTGATTAGTAGCTCACACCGAGCACATCTAGGAAGATGTCTCAGATATCGTAGTCTGCTTTGACTTACAGCCACTGATAAGGACAAGGTGGTTTTACAACCATGTCACCAGTCTTTTATACCTGGCTGGTAGCTTCCTGTGAGCAGTCCTTTCTGGAACACAAAAGTCTCCCAAGCCCTCTGGGATCCGTTTCCTCCATAATGGTCATGATCGTGATCTGTTTCCTTAAGATGCTTTACTTTAGCAATTAGCAACTACCAGTGCAAAGCTGTTAATGAAAGATGCCCGAAGAGCAGCAGTATTTATTTGTATTGCCCTTTGGAGCTTGAGGGGAAGTTTAAGGCGAAGGGGGTAGGAGACAGAAGAAAATCCTGAGATTTTGTTGGTAACTTCTGAGATGTTTCAGGGTGCAATGTGGCCAGTATAGGCCCTGTGTGGTCCACATGGCAACTCTGTGTCTCTCAGGCTGGATGAACAAACACAGTCCCATACACTGCTGAGTTACCTTGATATTTTCTTATTTATTTATTTATTAGTCATAGTCTCACTGTCACCCAGGCTGGAGTGCAGTGGTACGATGATGATGGTTCACCATAGCCCCAACTTCTTAAGCTCAAGTGATGCTTCTGCCTCAGCCTCAGCCTCCCAAGTAACTAGGACTACAGGCACATGTCACCACCTGTTACCCAGGTGGTTTTGAACTCCTGGGCTCAAACAATCCTCCTGCCTTGGCCTCCCAAAGTGTTAAGACGTTGCCCAGGCTGGTTTTGAACTCCTGGGCTCAAATAATCCTCCTACCTTGGCCTCCCAAAGTGTTAAGATGTTGCCCAGGCTGGTTTTGAACTCCTGGGCTCAAACAATCCTCCTACCTTGGCCTCCCAAAGTGTTAAGACGTTGCCCAGGCTGGTTTTGAACTCCTGGGCTCAAACAATCCTCCTGCCTTGGCCTCCCAAAGTGTTAAGATTACAGGCATGAGCCAGGATACCTGGTCTCTCAACTAAATTTTTATTTTTAATTTTAATTTTAATTTTTTGCATTGGAGTCTCACTCTGTCGCCCAGACTGGAGTGCAGTGGCCGCTCCCGGCCACCACAGCCTCAACCTGCTGGGCTCTGGCGATCCTTCCACCTCAGCCTTCCAAGTAGCTGGAACTACAGGCGTGCGCTATCACACCCGGCTAATTTTTGATTTATTGTAGAGATGAGGTCTCACCAAGTTGCCCAGGCGGGTCTCGAACCTGTGGGCTCAGGCAATCCACTCACCTCAGCCTCCCAAAGCACGGGATTACAGGTTGAGCCACCGAGCCCGGCTTCAACTCAATTTTTAAAGCATAAATCCCTAGGGGTAGGATTACCGGGTTTCTTACTATATTAACATATTTCTTTCTTTCTTTTTTTTTTTTTTGAGTTGGAGTCTCACTCTGTTGTCCAGGCTGGAGTTCAGTGGCACTCTCATGGCCACCGCCGCCTCAACCTGCTGGGCTCTGGCGATCCTTCCACCTCAGCCTTCCAAGTAGTTGGAGGCAAGTGCCACCACGCCCGACTCATTTTTTGATGAATTGTAGAGACGCGGTCTCACCATGTTGCTCAGGCTTGTCTCGAGCCCATGAGCTCAGGAACTCCTCTCACCTCGGCCTCCCAAAGTGCTGGGATTACAGATTTGAGCCGCACCCGGCCCATATTTCTTTCTAAAGAGTGTTCACCAACACTGTCCTTAGAATGGCCTTGTCGGCACTGACCACCATTTTACTTAAAAAAAAGTTACAAGTCTGGGTGCAGTGGCTCATGCTTGTAATCCTAACATTTTGGGAGGCTGAGGTGGGAGGAATCCTTAAGCCCAGGAGTTCAAGACAAGCCTAGACAACATAGAGACCTTGTCTCTCCAGAAAATAAAAAAATTAGCTGGGTGTGATAGTCCGTGCCCATAGTCCCAGCGACTGGAGAGGCTGAGGTAAAGATCACCTAAGCCCAGCAGGTGGAGGCTGCAGTGAGCCATGATCATTCCACTGCACTCCAGCCTGGGAGACAGAGTAAGATCTGATTAAAAAAAAATTTCTTTACGTGCCCCCAAAATAACCTTTACAGCTATTTTTAAAAAACCTAGACTGTAAATCAACAGTCTAGGTTTTTAATATAATTCATACATTATATTTAGATGTCATGTGCTTTTGTCTCTTTTAACCTAGAGCAGTACCCCCTGCGTTTATGTTTTGTCATTCACTATGTGTATATATATATATATATTTTTTTTTTTAATCAAATGAATTTTTTTAATCAATATTTTTTATTATGGTTTTGTGGGGTACAGTTAAGGGTTAGGTGTACAATTACGTTTCATTCAGACACCCTGTGGATAAGAGGTGTTTCCCCATCCCCAGACAGATATTTGCTACTGTTAATCCCATCCCCTGCCCCCTTTTTTTTTGATTTATTGTAGAGATGAGGTCTCGCCAAGTTGCCCAGGTGGGTCTCAAACCCATGAGTTCAAGCAATTCACTCACCTCGGCCTCCCAAAGTGTGGGATTACAGGCTGAGCCACCAAGCCTGGCCGATATACATATATTTTTAATTAAAAATACTTTATTGCTAAAAGACATTGATGTTTGTGGGCGGGGCATGTAGTGTTTTGTTGGAGCTGGTACACACTGGCTTACATGGGCCACTTGTTAGCATCTGTTCCCAGCTCTGCTTTCAGTGATGTCAGCTTGCTAGCTTGACATTGGCCCTGCTGGCAGTGAAAGTTGGCAATGACAAAGACTGTCTCCTTGACCCCAGTCAGGCTCCTCCCTGTGATTAAGTCACAGTCACTCTTGGTGACTAGGCTTCAGCTTTGGCCTGACTTTAGCAAGAACCCCGCCAAGTCAGTTTAGCAAGACTCTCTCTGCCCTTGATATCTTAGTGACTTTCATCCCTGACTCCTCTCCCTTTGCCTGTTGGCTGTAAATCGCTGCTCTTCTTGACTGTGTTTGGAGCTGAGTTCAGTCTCTCTCTCCCCTATGTAATACTCTTGACCTCTATTGCAATACCTTCTTCTTTTCTTTTTTTGAGATGGGGGTCTTGCTATTTTCCCCAGGCTGGGTTCAAACTCATGATCCTCCCGTCTCCACCTCCTGAGTAGCTGGGACCACAGGCGCATGCCACTATGTCCAGCTCTGCTGCAGTAGTGTTAAAGTCTTCCCATTTCTAACAAGTTTGAATAGTTTTTCTCTTTAGCTGCAAATGCTACACACCAGGACTCAATCCCTTCCCCTTTCCTCCCCACCCGCCCTGCTCTGGACTGGTTTAACACTTCCCAGCACTCTGCTGAGCTACAGGCCAGTTGTCTTGTAGAATGTCCCGCATTTTGGGTTCGCCAGTTGGGTCTTCCAGATAAGCTTCAGGTTAAATCTTCTGATATGTAACGCACGTGATGCTGTGTCTCTCTATGTCCTTCATCTCTGGCTTCCTGGCCCCCGCCCTCCTTCCTCAACTTTCCATCCCCATCCCAACTTCATTTCTTCCATGATTGTCATAATCATCTGTCAAATTCTTTTTTTGTTTTTTTGAGTCAGAGTCTCACTGTCGCCCAGGCTGGAGTGCAGTGGCACACTCACAGCCACCACAGTCTCAACCTGCTGGGTGCAGGTGATCCTTCTGTCTCAGTCTTCCAAGTAGTTGCCCAGGCTGGTCTCAAACCCCTGAGCTCAGGTAATCCTCTAGCCTCTGCCTCCCAAAGTGCTGGAATTACAGACTTGAGCCACCCTGCCTGGTGCCATATTATTATTATTATTTTTCCTCACCGTGGGCATAAGCCCCGGCTCCCTCTAATTTTATTTTTTGAGTCAGTCTCACTCTGTTGCCCAGGCTGGAGTGCAGTGGCATGCTCATGGCCACTTCAGCATCTACCTGCTGGGTTCAGGTGATCCTTCCACCTCAGCCTTCCAGTAGCTGGAACTACAGGCACATGCTACCACACCTGTCAAATTTTTTGATATTTGTTTTTTTTTTGAGTTGGAGTCTCACTCTGTCGCCCAGACTGGAGTGCAGTGGCCGTTCTCGGCCACCGCAGCTTCAACCTGCTGGGGCTCCTGCGATCCTTCCACCTCAGCCTTCCAAGTAGTTGGAATACAGGCGTGCACTACCACGTCCGGCTATTTTTTGATATTTGTAAAGACGTCGCACCAAGTTGCCCAGGTTGGTCTCAAACCCCTGGGCTCAAGCAATCCTCTCACCTCAGTCTCCCAAAGTGCTGGGAATACAGGCTTGAGTCACCGTCTGGCCATATTCTTATTCTTATTTTACCTTTAAGTCTATCTCCAGCCGGGCTTGGTGGCTCAGTCTGTAATCCCGCGCCTTTGGGAGGTTGAGGTGAGTGAATTGCCTGAGCCCACAGGTTCGAGACCCGCCTGGGCA